TCAGTGTTTATCTTTTACTAACATCACAAATGTTCAGTATTCAATACTTTTGTTGCACTTTTCAGACAATATTACTGTTAACTGTCAAAACCATTTTTTATAAAAAAAAATGTTATATTTAATGAAATGTACAATTTAACTAATTTTGTATATTCAAAGACATAAAGCTAAAAACAGAACTGTTGTTCCAGCATTGTACAAATTCATTTGTTTTTGGTACAATCTAAAATTTGTAAGTAAAATTGTACGTTTGAGGATGTTTTCGTTATGAGTTTTCTTTTGGGGGGCCACAAAAGGATTCACCCTACACAAGGGGGCCTCCTCCTGAAAAAGTTTGAGAACCACTGAATTAGCGTTCTATGGCCGATGTTGCACATAAAATGCGTTATCATTCTGATACATCGACTTGTATAACGACTGTATACGAGTTGGTGGAGGCGAGTCTCATTTGCATATTCATGTTCTGCGTATACTAAATGAGGCAAGGGTGTAGTTATATTCAAGCTATTTTAAGGCATGAATAAATAAAATTCACAGGAATTTGATCAAAGATGATTTTTAATGGATACAAATATTGACTACAGGGGGACTTTAAAAATAATAATTGACATTGAAAAAGTAGAAAGTGAGACAAAAAGTCATAATTATGGGTGACGTGTCATAATTTCAACTTTCAAAGTCGAATTTATGAATAAAAAGTAAATAATGATATAGTCAATATTAAAAGATGAAATAACTCTATGAAAATCATACTAAATAAAAACGATGGCATACTTAATCAAAATTTTGACAATGGCTAATTTCCGCTTCGACTGTGATGTGACAAACAAGATGGCTAGAAGGAGTCTTCTTAATTAGTGGTGCTTACTGAGCCTAACATCTTTGCTGTTGCTTATGTCTCATGCCATACAATTTGTGCTAAAACCAAAACATGATATCTCAAATCGTACAGCTTGTTGACGTGTGCAGTAACTTTCCTAAGGATTAGACTTACCATTTCCACTTGGCAGATAAAAAAAGAAAGAAATCCCACAAACTTTGAAGAGGGGAGCCGAGCCATATCTACAGAGACCAGAATTTCATTCTCAAAGACATAACTTGGGTCAGTAAGCAACCGTATAGCAACCACTCAGAACACCCTAGCAACCATATAGCAAGGTGCTAAAATGTGAAGTAAAGTTGAGTTTTGTCAGTGCAGCAGTAATACAAAAATTGATGTGCCTGGGACCCAGTGATGCGTGTGTAAATTGTGAAGAGAAGATGACCAAGTACCGAACCCTGAGGCACACCTAATAGTGTGATTTAGATTCCACTCGCCTCAAAGAAGCCACGAATGATGTACCTGTCGAAAGCTACAGAAAAGTTCATGAAACGGCCATGCTGGACACTCGTTTGCTGCTCTTCTTTCATTACTTTTTTTTTTAAATGAATGAATTGGACAATGATAATAAATATATTAATATATCCACACATATTCAAGTATACACTGCTGTTCAAAAGTTTAGGGTCAATACAAGTAATACTTGTATTCAGCAAGGATGCATTAAATTGATTAAAATTAAGAAATTTGTTACAAAAAAAAATATATATTTCAAATACTTTTCCTTTGAACTTTCTATTCATCAAAGAATCCTGAAAAAAAAAATGATCTCACGGTTTTCATGGAAATATGAAGCAGCACAACTGTTTTTAACATTGATAATAATCAGAAAAGTTTCTTGAGAAGCAAAACTGCATATTATTATGATTTCTGAAGGATCATGCGACACTGAAGACAGGAGTAATGCGTCACTAAAATAAATTAAATATTAATGGATGCATAAATATAAAAAATACCTAAATCATGTGAGGAAGCCTTTAAAAATTCACGTTGAGACTACTTAAATTGGGTCGCTTAAATTTACTTAATTCCATGATGTTGAAGTTACATGAACAAATTATGTTTGTTTAACGTAACCCAGTTATGCAGAACCTGTTGACGAAAAAAAAAGTGTCATTTTTTCAAGTGTAGATAATTAATTAAAGACACAAAACAAAAAAGTTTTTTAAAATCCTGCAAAACATAAATGTAGTCAAGTGAGTCCAAACACTTGGCTTATACACTCTTAGAAGAAATGGTTCTATTTAGAACCAGAAATGGTTCCATCCCCCACTTCATATATGGAACTCCAAAATGGTTCTATACAGAACCATTTTTTTTTTGGTAAAAGGTTCTATTGGCCAAGTATGGAACCCCGGGGTTCTATATAGAACCCAGAGGAACCCTTTTTTTAGAGTGTATAGAACCTTTTAGGGGTTCCAAATACGTAGCGCTGATAGAACCTTTTAAGGTTCTATATAGAACCTTTTCTTCTAAGAGTGTAGGTTAAGCCGAATGCGGTTCTGTGTTGTTTTTAACAAGCTTCCACAGTCGACATGGTTGTCAACACTATTACAATGTTCAAATGGTACAAGTTCCAAACACCACATAGACACACACACACAAAAAAAAAACAGAATCAGATCATTTGCTCAGCAAAAACTGAGCAAGAAGAAAAGTTCAGGTCAGTAGTTCACTTAAAGAGGATAGAAGACATTAGACAGCTGTAGCTGCCGGTGCTAAATTGCCCCTTAGGGATTTATAAAATCACATTGTACTGTAAACTTTGGATATGAGCTCCAGAAACTTTTTATCTTCTAAAATAATAACATCTTCAAAACTGTCCAAATCTGAAGCAATCAGAAAATTTGCAATAACATATATTTAAGCATTTAAGCAAGTCATGTCATGTGTATACTGCATTTGTAGTTTATTGACGACATCTGGTACAAAATGTGTTGGATGCCATTGTCACAACATCACATAAAAGAAAAATTAAGTTAACTAACAAAATGTAGGTTTAAAAGTACAAGTTATTTACAAAATGTATAATTGGAACCATTATAACCAGATCTCATCCAGTTCTGTTATGAATTTGCTAAGTTAAGGCACTTACGTGAATTCACACTAAATTTGAATCCTTCTAACGTTTATTTTAGAAAATATACTGCTCAAAAAAATAAAGGGAACACGTAAAAAGCAAAAACAAGAAAAAGTATTTAATAAGATTATTTCATTCATTCAGATCTATGATGTGTTATTTTAGTGTTCCCTTCATTTTTTTGAGCAGTGTATATAGATATACTCATGTCAAATGTTATATTGCATGTGATTCTTTACCAATTCTTTACCAAAAGAAAACAGTTAACACTATACACTGCATGTAATGTAACACACGCTGTGATTGACAGAAAAGATCATTCCGGTTACAGAATTGAAAAACTAAAGGACAGGTAATCAATCCACTCACAACCACACTGAGGTAGGCTGATCGTGTAAGAGCACGCACAATTACCCTGCTTTATGCTTTTAGCCTTAAAGGTGAAGTGTGTCATTTCTGAAGCACTAGTGTCACCAAATGAAATTGCAAAAATAATAACCCAACCAATGGCAGAATCCCTGTCAGTCAAACAAATAGCCCTGTCCCAAACTCGCCACTGGTTCAGCGAATATTGCTGTGTGGATATGGTCGAGATGCTTAAAGCACAGCCGAATCACAGTTTCAACTTTTTGGAGGAAATGTTGTACAAATTCAGCTAATAAATGCACCTGTTTAACAGATTAACATTGTAAAACGCATATTGTTAGACATTTTAGTGGGATAAAAACAAACAGTTGAGTCAACCTTTTTTCCATTGACGGCAACAGGTGAGCAGAAGTTTGCAAAACAACGTCAAGTCAATTGTGCCCTCTGGTGGCGGATTTCTCATTTTCGTTACAATCAGTTTGCTACTGTTTTCAGAACCTTGATATCACTTTTCAAAACTCAAAACGGGTCTCACTAGTAACACAGGCTGTCTAATGTTCAAAACATTGCATTGTGCATTCACATCTTTAAAGAAATCTTGCACGATCATTGGTTCAAAAATCAAATTTACTGTGATTGAAACATAACTATAGATCACCCACACACAAGCAACCGATAGTTTCACTGTGTCATTGTTCGTACAATCATTAAATATGGTAGAACAAAATAGTCGATCCAGTTTTCATTATAGTTCAACATGTACAGTAAACACAGCTCTGTAAAAGTACTGCAGGACCTTGAACCGTTTGGTTCCCATTGAAGTCCATTATATGGAGAAAAATCCTGGAATGTTTTCATCAAAAACCTTCATTTGTTTTCGACTGAAGAAATAAAGACGTGGACATCTTGGATGACATGGGGGTGAGTAAATTATCAGCGAAAGTTTTTTTTTAAAAAGTGAACTACTCTATTGTTCGTATGTATATCCAAGCAATTGCGAAAAGGGTTAAAGTTTTGAAAAATGTGCATTTTGATCATGAGCTTGTGAGTTTTGTGTCTAAAATTGTGAAAAATGACATCAAGGTTCTGAAAATAGTAACAAAGTGATTGTAAAAACTGTAATAAAGGGGTAAATATTCCACGTAAAACTTTAATAGAATAACAGACCAAAATTATAATTAATAAGTAACTCATTTTCCAGGATAAATAAATTGGCAACACTTAAGTTTACAGTGCCAATATAATGAATTAATGAAAAAAAAACTACAACAAGAATTATGTGCAATTAATTACACACAGCCCTACGAATAAAATTACATTAATTACAAAATAACATATGTGGTTTATGAGTATTGTGCGGCAGTAAAACTAAAAATAAACGTTACAAAAGGGTGTTTTCGCATAGACGAACCATTTTTGGTTCCCCAAAGAAACTTTTTTTCTTGGTGTAAAGAGCATTTTAATAACCTTAAATGGATGTTAAATATAAATATTATTTATATAACCATCAAGGCCACTAAAGAACCTTTATGTCTAGGAGAGTAATACAAAGTGTGACCAACCTTTTGCGAATCTGTGTGTGATTTACATCACTCGATCCTATGTCATTGAGGGTGGTCATATCAAGCCAGATTAGAAACAACCAATCAAAGCTTCTGTTTTTCCATCAAAATGGCATTCCTAAGGCACTTATTATTGTGTAAACACAGCACTAACTACTACTAGAAAGACAGCATTTAAATGACACAATATTGCATTTAAAAAAACTTGATATGAAAACTATTTCAAGTTTAGAAAACTCACCTCCTAAAGTTGCTCAGCATCACTGCAATATCCAGAACACATCATGACTTGGTAAACAACTGTTAATGTGTTTTCTACTGTAATGCACATGTTTGCCATCCTCATTTGATGTTTGGGTCACCACATGGGTCAGATCCCACAGAAAAGCCTACTCTAGGGTGTTTGCAGTGACTTGCGGATGTCTAACAGCAGCGTTTGGTGGAGGGAGGAGGCTGTCGTGTCAGTTTGAAGGAGTCGTGACTGTCAGCGTCCGTGTTCTCCAGCGGAGGGATCTGTCGACCTGCACACACACATGCGAGAACATGAACAATTATGCCACTTCTAGTTTGTGTGCGCATGTCATTGCATTACATTGAATACAGTGGCTGCTAGCATAATGAAACTCAATCTTTCAAAACACAAACTAATGTAAAATGTGACACACAGGTGATGGAGATGACTATGAAATATTTGCAATTAGCGTTGTGTCATCGTCGTGGACAGCTTGAATGAAATACTCCACTGAAATTTGGGGTCGGTAAAAGTTTTTAATGATTGAGAAGAAAGAAGTCTCTTAAATCTCACCGAAGCTGCATTTATATGAAGAAAAACTGTAAAAAATGACATTTTGTAAAATATCTAGGGCTGTCAAACGATTAAACTGGACTAATCGCATCCAAAAGTTTGTGTTTCATGATATATGCGTGTGTGCTGTGTATACTTATTTTGTATACGAATACACACACTTGCATGTCCATATTTAAGAAATATTCGCATGTATATACTGAGTATATATATTTTTATATAATTGATATTACATATAAATATTTATATATAATTTTTTTCTTAATTTTTTTTCTTTCTCTTATATTATGTAAACACAATCTTTTATTTTGGATGCGATTAATTGCGATTAATCGTTTGACAGCCCTAAAAAAATAATTTCAAATGTTTTGCTTTTGCTGCTCAAGAAACATTTTTGATTATTATCAATGTTGAAAACAGTCATTTTTGGACAGTTTATTTAAAATAGAAATCTTTTATAACATTATATGTCTTTACTCTCATTTTTGATCAATAATAAATGAATAAAAATATTTTCTTAAAAAAAACATACTGCCCCTAAACCTTTTCGAACAGTAGTGTAGTTACTGAGCATTAGTGTGTTTTTATGTAAATTGCCACTTCATCATTTTATACAAGCAAAACATGACTCAAAGCATTTAATTAAAGCTAGTTTGAGCATGTTTGAAAGGTTTCTGCTCCATAGTGTGCCTAACAACCCTTTCAACCCTGTTGTGTTGCTGAAATAATATTGTGGCGAGCAGGACGAGGGACAGTGATGATGAACGACACCTGTGAGACGCACCGGTCTCGCATCTCTAATAAATGAATAAATACAAAATGAAAGTATAAGCCAGCAGCCCCTCACGGACAACACACAAAACAGAACATAAAATCACAACGTAAAATCAGGCCTGTTGCTCTCTCCACTGCCGTCGCTCCTCTGTGAGAGATGCGAGACCGGTGCGTCTCACAGGTGTCGTTCATTATCTCTCACGCCACCGGCCTCGTGCCGCTCATGTCCCTGTCCCTCGGCATCGTCCTGCTCGCCACAATATTAGTTCACTTTTAAAAAAACTTTTGCTGATAATTTACTCACCCCCATGTCATCCAAGATGTCCATGTCTTTCTTACTTCAATCGAAAAGAAATTAAGGTTTTTGATGAAAACATTCCGGGATTTTCTCCATATAATGGACTTCAATGGGGTCCAAACGGTTCAAGGTCCAAATGAGCGTTTCAGTGCAGCTTCAAATGGCTTTAAACGACACCAGACGATGAATAAGGGTCTTGTCTAGGACCCTTCGAGTCATGACTCGAAAAAAGATTTGTTCATGTTGATGAACAAGTTCGAACAGGTCGCTCATCACAGAACTGAGCAAGGCGAGCATTTGTGCTTATAAAACTTAAACTTTTTTATTTATTTTTTAAATGAGCGATCGTTTAGCTAGATAAGACCCTTATTCATCGTCTGGTGTCGTTTAAAGTCCTTTGAAGCTGCACTGAAACTCTCATTTGGACCTTGAATCGTTTGGTTCCCATTGAATTCCATTATATGGAGAAAATCCTGAAAATCAGCAGCTCATTTGCATTTAAAGAGACACACACACAAACACCACGTTTTTTTTTTCACACCCAAATTTGCAAGCTATAATAAAAGATCTGGGGGCTATTTTGAGCTTAAATTTCAAAGACACATTCTGGGGATACCATAGATGTATTTATCTTGTGAAAAGGGGTATAATGTGTCACTTTAAGTGACTTTTCTATTAGTACAGTAAATCACTAACTTGAGAACGCTTGATAAAATACTGGAAAATGTGAGTAAATGAGGGAGAAGATGATAGTGTCCAAAAAAAAAAAAAAAAGCAAATAAAATGCACTAGCGATCCCTATAGCTATAGCTGTAGTGTTTCGTGTTTGCTACGGTGGGTCAGGTGTAGCGTGAACACTTGACTAGTTTTAGTGACACTTACTGATTTTCTGGAACAGCTCCTCTATGTTAACTGCATTTCTGGCACTGGTCTCCATAAATATGGCAGCAATTGACTCTGCAAAATCTTTCGCCTCTTTAGTTGGAACTTCCCTAGAAAAAAAACATTGAATACGAGTAAATAATGAGCTTTTGCTTAGCATGAGGGGCTCATCCAACCAAGGGCAGGACCGAAACAAACAGCAGAGGGGTTCATTGAAAATGTAATGCCTGTAATTATCTAGACGCAAAGACCGACAGTCCAGTTAATCCATTAGGATTTGACTTTCAATTTCAAAAGATTATACTTCAATTTCTTTGGAATAACATGCACTTACGAATCATGCACATTAAGAGCAGTTTCTGTTTAAAGATTGTCAATTGTCAGTTTTGATTTCACATCAACTTCAAGTACAATTATCACACAATATATATAATATTAGACATGAAAATATAAGCAGGAGCGGCTGGATCGGTTTTGGCAAGAAACTTCACAGAATATAATACGTTCTGAGAGAGTAAGAGGGTTTTATCAACCTGATGTCACCCAGATCGTTCTTATTTCCTGCTATGGCCACAACAATATCCTCCGGCCCATGTTCCTTCAGCTCCTTTACCCACTTCTTTAACGTCTGGAAAGACTCCTGCAGAAACCAGACACGTCACAAAACATGTTTCATAGAGCAGAGAAAAAACTGAGATACAAAAGAGATCTCATTTGTAAATTGTAAAATAAAATTTCTTTTCAAAAATTTTCTCCAACAATAATAACATATTTCAATAAACTGCATATTAAACACAGTTAAACATGCTCTTTAAATAGAAACAACTTGGAAAGGAATTGAACAAACGCACTATGACGCAACTTACGAGCTTAGTGATGTCATACACAACGACGGCTGCTGCAGAGCCTCTGTAATACATGGGAGCCAACGAATGAAACTGGAGAAAAATAACATACACTTTGTTAATGTTGGGAAATTTCATTTTGATTACTAAATTGACATAAATGTTATGTTTTAACCTTCAAATGGTCTTTGTTTCCTGTTTACACTTGACGTCGGGGTCTATACGCCCCAACAATTGATTGCGTAATTGTACAAAAAATATACATTTTTAATCATACAAATAATATAGAATTTTTTTTGTTTACTTCTCATCTATTCATTAATGCTGTGTTTTTGGAGATATAAAGTACTTTTGTATCCATATACCACACAATTCATCAACTACACCATTAGCTTGTGATTTTTTGTGAAATATTATTTTTTATAATACACTGCATTTATGCTCTAGTACTAGGCCTTCATTTCTGTGTAAAAATTTTCAGACTTATGCCGGATTATTTATTTATTTATTTTTTGACACATGAAGAAAATATATTTAGTTTTTTTCACATTTCCCATTCATTTCAATTTCGAAGACCAGAACATTTTTTTTACATTCCTTCAGAACAACCGAATCAAGCCCAGTTTTGTGTGTGTGTATAGATAAATAATGTATGAAAAGTCACAAAATCTTATTCCACTGAGATGAAGGAAACCTTTTTTTTATTAAGTAAAAGTCGATTGGGGTCATATAGACCCCATGAACCGATTGAGGGCTACATAAGGCAAACATCACTATTGCTCATACTTCAGGCAAAGTTTGCACCAAAAAACGCCACTCACACTTTCTTAAAGAAAGCTTGATGTAGTTAAGGTAAACAGCATTGATGATAAATAAAGCATATTAGGATCACTTGAGCTGGTTTTAGGTCAGACAGATGCAGGGGATTTGCTGTAATGAAGTACAGGGGTTGGACAAAAAAACTGAAACACCTGGTTTTACTACACAATAATTTGTTAGAATGGTGAGGGCCTCATTTTGCATCCAAATACAGCACCAATTGACAGATAGAAGTCCTTCACAGTGACCAGAGGGATTATGAGCCGTTCCTCTTCCAGAACAGTGTCCAGGTCACTATATGATGCTGGTGGACTCGCTCCTCCAAAACACCTCAATAATATTCAGATCTGGTGACTGTCAGACCATGGGAGATGTTCAACGTCACTTTCATCTTCATCAAACCCTTCTGTCACAAGTCTTGCTGTGTGTGTTGGTGCATGATCATGAGCATCAGGTGCTCATGATCCTCCAGAAGGGTTTGGTAGTCCTCGGCAGTGTCGTGTCCATCAAATACAATCAGGATTGTCATGATATTGGAGCTCAAACCATCACTGATCCACCCGTGCTTCACTCTGAAGATTGGCCGCCAGGCATATAGATGTGGAAACCTCCAACATTGGCCAGTGTTTCAGTTTCATTGTCCAACCCCTGTAGATGGCAATTACATCTGAGCGAGTTCAAAAGGGGACGCGTTTTTTCAGAGTGATCTAAACAGATGCACAAGCTAATAGTGAACAAGACGTGAACACAAAGTAATGCCAGCACTTCTCAAACTCACACACACACCGCACCCAATGAGTCACACCTACAGTGAACTCTGAACTGTGAGTGTATGTTGGAAACTGAATACTATTTCTCTATTAACTGATGACAAAGGTCTGACCGAGAATTGTATCCTTTAATCTTGTGTTCATATCTAAAAATAAACTTCTTACATCATTTACTCACTCAACAAGATGTTCCAAACGTTAATGACAGAATTGTCTGCTTTGAGTGAACTATACACTGACAGGAATCCGTTGTGTGTGTGTGTGTGTGTGTGGAGAACAGAAGCTTAATGCTATGGATCATGGGAGTTACTCAGAACTGATGGTGCTTCGGTTGTTATTTGTATTATTTGTGTGGTTGTATGAAGCTTTAAGACAGACATAGATGCATGAATCTGCTCATAGATCAACTAAACACAAATGTATGGAATTAGATTGAAAAAGAGTGTCTTCGGTATAGGGCTGGGTATCGATTCACATTTCAATTTCGATTCGATTTCGATTCACAAGCTCTCAGTTCAATTCGATTTCGATTCTCGATTCAATTTTCGATTTCGATTCCTGATTTGATTCTCGATTCGACTATAATGAAGATGTAATATAAATCCTATATTTATAAAAAAGAACAGTGGACATAAGTTTACTAGTGGTTAATTAATACAAGGAAATTAAGAGCCATAAACCTGTATATAAAACTCTTTTTATTTTAGGTACACTAAATGCATACAAAGAATAAACAGGATTTTGATGCAATATGCAAAAAAAGTCAGAACAGTCGCACAGCTTGATCAAACAGCATCATGTTATTTTATGTTTAAGATAGATATAGATAAATAAATATATAAATATTTAGACCTTTTTTTTACATTGATCTTACCTAAATGGTAATGTAATTTTTTGTTTATTTTTGTTTTAAGAGTTTATGTATAGAAGCTTGATTTCAATCTTTGAATTATATTGAAAAAAGTAGCAAAAATAAATACAATAGAATAAAGACACAAATTAAGAGACATTTTGGGGTGGTTTTTTTGGGTATGTCAGAAATACTACAGAAACTGACTAAAGTAATCCAATGTAAAATAACACTGGATAGTCTTTTTAGTCCATACAAAGGCTATTAATTCTGATTGCTTACAATTAATACTATATTCTGTTGTTATGACAACAGAATTAATGACTGACACAAATGGCTGCGTTCACTTTAAGAACTTGTGCGCGAATCCATTACTGTTTCATTAACTTTCTGTCACACACGTTTAATGCTAATTTAAGACATTACCGACTGTCTTTAGGAGGTTACTCACCAAGACCAGAGTTTTGACATAATGTCGCGTGTTTTAACTGTTAAAGTGATATAATCCAGGGATAAAACTTTTGTTCCTGGCGAGCTGTTTGTGAGGCAGATTTAGGCTGTAACGTTACTGTGCACGCAGTGAAAGACATCTCTGAGAGTGCGCGAGCACGGGATAGTTTAACATTGCTTGTAAAAATTAGAAAGACGTGAAAATGATAAACGTTAGTTACGATCATAGGTTACGATGCAATGCTGGCCCGATTGTTAAGTGAATATTCTGTCATGTCCCGACTCCTGAACGCGTGTGTGTATCGACAGCTGCAGCGCTTGCCTAGTGCAGAGAGACGAGAAGATGCAGCACCGCGTCCGCGAGCCCTTTATTTGGAAAAAATCGATTCGTGGCCGTTGAGAATCGATTTTGAATCGAACACATTTTAAAAAACGATTAATCGAAAAATCGATTTTTTTGCCCAGCCCTAGTCTTCGGTGAAATAAAAACAAACACATAAATGAGTAAATCACATACATGTATGATATTGGTCATAGAGGCCGCAAAACAACGGCTAGACACACTGTTCATAAAACATTCATACAACTAAACTCTAAATTATGAATAAAACAAACTAAACACTCTCACCCGTTCCTGCCCTGCGGTGTCCCAGATCAGAAACTTGTGAAGTTCATTTCCACATGGGACGGTCTTAGTTAAAAATGATGCACTGAAAAACAAATAATTATCTTTATCATAATGACTAAAAATATGGTAATACACACACACATACAATAAAAGTCACAGTTTGGATTTAAATGGGCAAATTCTTAAGAGTCTATGATTGGATCATTATTGCAGTGATTATGTTTCATGCACTTCTAGATGGAAATAAACGTTATTGTGATGTTATTTCCATCAAGAGGTGAATCAATATTGTTTTGAGTCCAAGTGTGTGTAAAGCCTCAGAGATATCACTGAATTAAATGTCTAGGTGCAAAATGGTTCTTCATACTCCTCCAAAATATTCGTTCACAGTTTGTTCCTGATGAATCTTGAAATTGTCATCCTGGAATATGACATACATGGATGTTTAAGAGATGAAAAGCTACACACTCCATCTATTAGGGTTAGAAGTAGGGATGCACGATATATCGGCCAACATATCGGTATCGGCCGATATATGTTACATTTTTAATGTTATCGTTATCGGCCTGGTAAGAAAATGTGGCTGATATATTAAAGCCGATAAATAATGTATTATTCCCTTCAGCTGAGACACTTGTTGAGAACTGTTTATGTTTTTGAATTTCTTGAAATATGATTGAAATCTCTTCAAAAAATTAAAATCTGGTTCGGGACAACATGTGCAACGCAAATCTGTCATATCGGCTGAGAACATCATTATAATTGTGCGCTTGGGACATGCATTTAATTGTGAGACTTTTGTTTTTGTAATCAGGCTCTCAAAATTAGATAAAAAATTTGGACTTAAGTTTATCGGCCGATATATCGGTTATCGGCTTTCAAATATAAAGAATTATCGGTTATCGGTATTAGAAGAACTGTTGCCAAACATATAACATGCTAGAAACATAATAATCACTGAAATAATGATCCAGTCATTGGGATGCACGATATATCGGCCACAATATCGGTATCGGCTGATATTTGTTCATTTTTATGTTATCGTTATCGGCCCGATAATAAAATTTGGCTGATATATTAAAGCTGATAAATAATGAAAGACACTTAAGATGCGCACTGTTCAACATGTTTGATCTTAATTGCTTAACCCCTTAACTGTCACCGTCCCAGTACCGGGACACCTAACTTTACTTCACTATATTTCTATTAAATCCTAATCTAATTATGACAAATTATATATCGTTGGAAAGGTGTAAGACTTCTAAATAGATATTCTACCCCTGTTTTGTGTTAAAAATTATGTAGGAAGAGTAACTGATGAATTTATGACAAGAGTGCACCTAAAAAAATCTGCTTCATAACAGGACTTTTGACCTTTGTCACAAAAAGTTGATGCACCCACTTTTAATCATTGAAACTTCTGTTTTAAAGTTCATAATAAAACATATAATCTAGTATTTTTCAATAAAAAAAAAAATTATAGTATAATATTATCCTCTAAAAATGATAATATTTATATTTATTATCCTCTAAAATATAATATAATTTTTTTTATCGCTTTTTTATTATATCACATATTTTAGTAGTTATCATAAATTAGGTATCATTTGAAAGCTTATAAACTCAGAATTCATAGTGTGAACTGTTTTATAATTGAACGTTGCGTTACCATAGAAACGGTACTTGTTTTATCAGGCTCCTCCCCTTTTGGGCATCATTATATTTAATAATTTATGATCAAAACCTTTTCTAATCTTGACAAAACACATATTGTCAGAAAGGTCTGTGTCTCAAGGTTCCAAATTTTGTGACAGAATTGATATTTGGACAGAAATGTATTAATTTGTTAAGGCAGAATGTACACAACTAAATTCAATGGAATTCAATGGCACCCGGTGGCTATTTTTGGTACTACGCCTAAACAAAATCTCATGGGAACTTCAATTTTTGTGATATCAACTTCAAATTTGGAACATAACTTGATAAGATTTATGGCTTTGATTTTATAGAAATTTTAGAGTAAAAAATATTTTGTAAAATATATATTTTATATAAAATAAAAAAACATATAGTACAGTATATTTGATTTACTGTAAATTTAAACTTCCATAACTTTTTCATACTTTCATTTTTTGAAGTGTTTTCACTTCAGCAATATTCTGCTGAGTGTTTTCTTTAAAACAAGACCAAAGGTATATATTCCAAAGCATTCTTAAATTACAACCATTTAAGTTTGAATAGTGCATTTTAACCCCCATTCTCGAAAGGGGGGGTGACAGCTAAGGGGTTAAAATATGATTGGAATCAAAGGAAAATATAGTTTAGTGCAAAATGTGCCGTCATATCGGCTACGTGAAATTATAATGAAAACATTATAATTGTGTGATTGGGAAATGGCTTTTAATTGTTAGACTTTTGTTTTTGTAATCAGGCTCTCAAGAATTATATAAAAATTGGATTTAGATTTATCGGCCGGTATATCGGTTATCGGCTTTCAAATATAAAGAATTATCGGTTATCGGTATCGGCCAAAATGTTCACATCGGTGCATCTCCATCCAATCATAGACTATTTAGATTCAAACACTGACTTTTTTTGGTCGTACAGTGGGCAATAATAAAAATGAATAATAATCAATAAATAAAAAAGAAAAATTGCACAATGCCCTAAACTAATATTAAACAGACATCATTCAAAGAGGAAATGACAATGTTAACCATGACTAAAATATGCACACACACACACACACAAAAAAATCAGAAAATATTTTGCAAGCGCTTCTGTTTAAAGTGTAAATTGTGCAAAAGAGAAAATCTAAAAATATTCTCTAGTCCAAAAGTAATGACTAACCCAACAGAGAAACCAGCTTGTGCTGATGTAAACGAAACTGAGAGGAAACAAACAAACTGACTCGGACCAAACAGGACTCAAGAGTCGGATCCGGAGTGTTTGACTCATAAAGGAATATTTAGAAACGGATTCATCCAGCAGAGCAGAACGAAGGTGGTCTTCATGCTTCACTTCAATTGTTTAAATCCCTATAAATCTGATTTTTAGTAAACAGAGTAGTGCCCCTACCCTATTGTTGGACTGATGTTGTGGTCAAAGTGATCTTGAACAAATCGACACACAATACTTGATTTCCCGACTCCAGTGTCCTGTGATTATGAGAAAAAGAGAAACAGATTTAATTAAATATTAAATACATGAAATATTGACAGAGTCTCACTGATAAAGTGCCTAACTTGATGATGTGTACTTGAGTAATGTGTAACTTCAATAATATCATGCAACAATAGACTACATCTGCAGAATGCATACCGTACCCTATATGAAACTTTTCTGGATACATAAAATACATGGATGACCTAAATTTGCTATAACATTCAACTATAAGGCACTTGCTCAGAATACTGTACCCCATAATGCAATGCACTTAAGCTTAACTTAGTGTGACAAATGAACCAGAATATGAACAAATATGAAACAACAGCAACTTGAATGATTATTTTATCTGATTGCTAGAAGGCTAAATTATGTTTAGTGTGTCATAGTGTACTAATACTAACCGCTTACTGTATAAAGTATGTTTGAAGTATGTAAAACAACATACCACTCTAAATTTCAAACTTTCATAAGCTACATTGTTGTCACATGACCTCATTACATTAATCCAATCATAACTTTAGGTTAATTTTAACCAAGTCAAAATCAGTTGCAACTAGGCCATCTGGGAACAGTGATGTAGTATGCTCTTCCAAAGCAATGTATCCTGTTTTACATTCTGTATTTTAAACAGTATGCAACATGCACTATAAACTGCAGAGTACGCTAGAATTCCATTTCGAACACTACCAGTCTCCAGCAGCAGGCGGTGACGTCATGGCCGCAAACATTCCAAAAGAATGAATTTATGCGAAAACACTCCATAAAAACACAGATAAGTTCTTTGTGTTAGCATTTCACGAAGCTTTGCGTGACTGAAAGAGGACATTCGTGACGGCAAAACATCTCAACGCGTTTACTATCAGAAAAGGAAGCAGGAATCATCACAGTTCCAGTCAGTCTGTTGTGTCTGAAGCGTTTGAAGCCACAGGCAGAGGAATCTCAACACTCACCCCTAGCAGACAAACTTTCAATTCCCTGATGGCCATTGTAAAGCACGTTACGGCAGCTGAAGCATTATTCTAACAGTCTCCGGTCTTGTTCTGTCGACTCTCATCTATTCACGGTCACAGCAGACTGTTCATCTGTAAAACATAAACTCTGACCATCACCCTCCCAGATCTAACGGAAACACACTGGAGAAATTCGGCTAAGCTGTCATTCACGTCACGTGATGACATAAGCCCCGCCTTAAAGAGAGAGGCGCTGCTAAACGACTCATAACAAAAATTGTAATTTCTAATTACATAAAAACCGAGTGTTTTCTGAATAATGATACATTATTAAAGTAGTTCACTTTTAAAAAAACTTTTGCTGATAATTTACTCACCCCCATGTCATCCAAGATGTCCATCTGTCTTTCTTCAGTCGAAAATAAATTAAGGTTTTTGATGAAAACATTCCAGGATTTTCTCCATATAATGGACTTCAATGGGAACCAAACGGTTCAAGGTCCAAATGAGAATTTCAGTGCAGCTTCAAAGGGCTTTAAACGACACCAGACGATGAATAAGGGTCTTATCTAGCGAAATGATCGCTCATTTAAAAAATAAATAAAAAAAAGTTTAAGTTTTATAAGCACAAATGCTCGCCTTGCTCTGTTCTGTGACGAGCGTTCGTGACTCTCCTGTTCAAACTCGTTCATCAAAAAGAACAAATCTTTATTCGAGTCATGACTCGACAGAGAAATTCTTCATCTCTATGCTTCTTGTGTTAAATTAGACCACATACTTGTGTTAATAAATGACTAAACACACTATACAGGAGCGATCCATGATATTCTGCATTCCAGTGAAAAACTTCCAAACTTAAGTTACTGTCCAACCTATCATTTTATTTCGATGGCAGCTTTCAGTTCGCAATGATCATGAGCTACAAAAGCTTTGTCTATAATATGAAAAACTATGATTTCCAAAAGTAGATGAGCAGGTACGTATCTCTTTGAGATAAATCCTAGCAGAGACATTAAGGAAAAAAGAGCTTTTTTACATCTGATATAATTGACAAATCAGTCTGTCAATAGCTTTGATTAGAATTATACAGTATTGAAATGCATCTCACTTACTTGACATCATGACAAGAAAGAGGGGAAAACAAACAAACAAAGCAAAAATGAGGGTGGAAATGGGTGATATACGAAAAAGAATAATAATAATACACAATCATCCAGTGGTACGTTAGCATTCAACAAGACAAAAATAATAATAATAATGTAAAGTTGACAGAATATCAGTATTAAAAAAGAGAAGAATTGGTAACAATCTAGTGCAAGTTTCCACTAAAACATCAATCAGTGTGAAGAACATCTGTAACAACTGTGCCAAAACTTCAGGATCTCACAAAAATTGAATGTTCATATTTCACCCCAAATCGAAAGAAAAATAAGCCTTTTTTAATACGGTCTAATTGATTAATCACAATTAATCGCATCCAACATAAAAGTTTGTTATAATATATATATTTACAAATATATATATATATATATATATGAAGAGTTCAGAATCAAAAGCCTCTAAGTGCCATATGAAATTTTCTTATAGAATGATCATTTTTATCAAGCTTGTATATTTAAGTTCAGTAAATTCACTTAAATGACAATTAATAGGTAATCGTCATTGTAATTTACTGAACTTTAATATACAAGCTTGATAAAATTGATCATTCTAGAAGATTTCAAATGGCACTTAGAGGCTTTTGCATCTGAACGCTTCATATATATATATATATATTAGGGCTGTCAAACGTTTAATCGCGATTAATCACATCCAAAATCAAAATAAAAGTTTGTGTTTACATAATATATGTGGATGCACTGTGTATAATTATTATATATATATATATAAAAATACACACACATGCATGTATATTAAAAATATTATCTATATATAAAATATTTATATATAATATAAATTATATATATATATACACATGAAAATATTTCTTAAATATATACATGCATGTGTGTATATATATATATATATAATTATACACAGTGGGTGCACTATTATGTAAACACAAACTTTGATTTTGGATGCAATTAATCGCGATTAATCGCTTGACAGCCCTAATATATATATATATATATATACACAAGTTTATTTATATATATATATATATATATATAAACTTTAATGTCACATGCGATTAATTGATTTGACAGCACTACTTTTTTCCATTTCATGACCATTACTGTCAAAAAAAAAAAGCTTCATTTTATTTAGGCAAAATATTCTTTTGATATTGCGGATAAACATTTCTTTTTGAGATTCACCGCACCACCTACACTTATTAAAACATCCCATACTACCCCTCGAAAATCATCAATCAGAAATATTCTTGTGCTTCATTAAATTTGTCTTAAAAAAAACAGAGTGACGTAACGTGAAAGCACGGAAACGAACAAAAATGTTACCAGTTCCACAACAAACGTTCTAGAAGTGCACATCTGCACACTTTAGTGCAGTTACAGGCCTATATATGTTGACTATTAAATAGTGAGATTTAGAATAAACGTTCAAAACCGATTCCTTTCGATATCTCAATAGGTAAAAATACAATCTGGTTGCATAACAATGTCTTCAGAGTAATTCTTCAGTCACCTATGGCACAGTGGTTTCAGAACACACACGACTTCATTTTCACTGACCTCGACCTACAACAGGAGAACTGGCAGCCCACCAGGATTTCTGCAGCTTTTTCCACACATTGGAAATAGACATCCAGGATACTTCTTTCTCATTTGAACTAAACTGCATAAATAAAGTGAAGCATTTGTTAATAATAACCAATAAGGTAAACCTGCATGTTAAGCCAGGCGTCTAAGAAGATGATTGCAGTTGCATGTCATTCGGATGTTTGTCGCACACAGGCTGCATCATAACAACCTATTATGCTCAATATTTCATGGCTTTAGTTTCTTGAAATGCTGAGGTGAATAATAAGATGTCCAGAGGTTACATTTAAACCCAAATTGAAACGGAAAAATATTTTTGCATGAAGAAAATGCAAACTAGTGTAAGGACAATTAAGATTTTCTCTCTTTTTTGCATTACAGCATTATTTTCATGACTATTAAGAACTAAATTACTATACAATTCCTTACATTTAAATTGGCACAAAGGCAGTACAACAAATAATACTGTGATTTTATAATGTAAATAATATATTATATTTTTTCTTCACATTTCAGTAATGAGATTGATGTTTTATTTGCATTAAGGTAATGAGAATTATGGGAAAATGTGTTTAATTGTCATGCTAATAATTTTTTAATGTGTATATATATATATATATTTTAATAGTCCTAAAAAAGCGTAATTTTCTTCATGCAAAATATAAATAAAAAATGTTTTGGGGGGGGTTGTGTGGTGCAACGTGAGCTGGACAGATAATATTCACTTTTTGAAACAAAAACCCCTAATACTCATAACCGATTGTGAAAAAAAATAATAAAGAGAATCACCCTGTCCATTTAGGCACGGGTCAAAGGGCAGATCTAATAAATCCGAGCACTCACAAAGATCTGATTGTGCTGCTGCAACTTCACATACGAACTTAAACGCGTCAAAAGAATCCATTTTCAGTCAATTGTAG